CAGACACACTCCCAGGGGAGATATTATTCTAGGTCAGAGGTAGCATTTACTCCTTCCTGCTTCAGAAGCTTAAATGACACTATTTCATCTTTGTCTCAGGGAGCTGTGACCTTAGGAAACAAAAAGGAGTTCTATTTTGTAACCTTTTTGTCTCACCCACATTGATGTAACCTGAATAAGTCCTTAATGATCTGAGAGACAAGCGAGGAGGACCTAGATGCTGATCAACACTGGCCACCAGCATAAAGGAAAACCACACTTATTGGAATGACTCTGAGCATCTGGATGTTGGGAAGTGATATTTTAGGAAGAATCTTTGTCCATATTGCATGATTATTTACTTCACACAAGTTTTCACTCTATTCTCATTCCTCTCTGTTCACACTCACTCAGGACCTAGGCTCATTTGACATTTTTATCAATTTTTTTTAAAAAAAATTCTAGTCCATAAGTTAAACCTTTGCAAATAATAACTATTTTGCCTTTCAGAATATTCAGAAAAGGTTCTGCTTCCTAACCTGTGATGCGGCCAGTTACCTTGGAGACAACCTCAGGGGGATCGGGTCCAAGTTTGTCAGCTCCTCCCAAATGCTCACCTCATGCTCCGAGTGCCCCACGCTTTTCGTGGATGCTGAGACTGTGAGTGTCCCAGTCCTCTGAAGGCCAATGGCCTGTCCAGATTCTGGTTTGGATGACAGAGGGGTTTGTTAGTGTTGTGGTTTGTCTGAGTGATACTTTCATTGCTTTTGAGCAGCAGTGGATTGTGATGTGACTCCCAAATGCTGAAGTGGGCACAGTAATGAAGGTGCAGTGCCAGCCAAGCCAAAGCAAGTCATTTCAGATAATCAAAAGAAAGCTCCAGATCAGAGAAATGGTGGCATGAGAGAGCCCCTTGGCACTCCCCCTGAAATTTCAACAAGTAAACCAAGTATAATTCAACAAAGAATTATCTGCTCTATAGAGAGGCACACCTGAGAGACCAGTGCATTGAAACATCTGAAAGTGGACAATTGGAATAAGCAGGGACACGAGAAGGGAGGAAAGCTCTGATGGCTCACAGACACAGCCTTGAGGCTGGGAGCTCACGGCCCATCCTGAAGAGTGGAGGAAATCAGTGGTAGCAGGCACTTCCTTCGGCCAGGTGGAACAGAGAGCTACACGGACAAGTCCAGCAGGGCAAGCTATGAATGGAGTAAAGAGTGACTGAGGCAGCAGATACCTGACAGAGCATGGGGTTTTGCCATGTGACTTTCCACTGTTGGGCTCAGAAGAGATGTTTCAGACAAAAAAAAAACAAAACAAACAAACAAAAAAAACAGAACCACAGAGCCCTGCCACCACTTGTACTCCCAAAACTTGCTTCCCATTGTCCTTGGTATTGGTCAAGGAGCATACTATCTGTAAACCAAGAACTATTTCAGTACAAGGACTGTTTCCCTCTGTGACTAATCTCCAGGTGGAGTGCTTGGGTTGGGACCCCATGGAGGTGTGGGGCACCATTATGGTGAAGGCAAAACAAAACCCATCCCCAAGCAGCACTGCTGTACTATCTTATGGAAGCCATGGAGGTCAAAACTGCAACATCACAGAGGTAAAAAATCTTGCAATTAAGCACAATTTACTGGAAAATAATATACAGAGATATATGCATAGGCAAAGGAGAACAGCAAATACCATGAACAACCACAGTAATGAGGATAACCAGAAAGAAAATGAAAAATCCCCAGAAAGCAAGCTGGAACATACCAAAATATGTGATAGAAATGACAGAGATTTCAAAATTGCAGTTTTGAAAATACTCAAAAAGATGCTAGAAAATACAGACAGACAATTCAATGCACTCAGAAAACAAATCAATGAAAATGAGTACTTTACCAAAGAGATTGAAACTTTAAAAAAGAACCAATTAGAAATCCTGAACTGAAGCATACAATTAAGGAGATTAAGAGTGAACTACTGAGCATAGAAAACAGAGCCAAGCAAGTGGAGGAAAGAATAAGTGATATCAAGTATATCTAGAAATGAAATGACAAAGAGGAAAGAAGAAAGAGACCTGAGCATAAAGAAAAATGAAAGAGCTCTATGAGAACTGTTTGACTCCATCAGAGAAAGCAATATGAGAATAATAGGCATTCCAGAGGAGGAAAAGAAGGCACAAGGAACAGAGAGTCTATTCAAACAAATGGTGGATAGGAACTTCCCAAATCTATGGAAGAAACTAGATCCTCAAATCCAAGAATGAAACAGACCACCTAGTTACATCAATCCAAAGAGGCCCTCTCCAGTTTGTATTAAAACTGTCAAAAATTAATGACAGAGAAAAAATTAAATTCTCAAAGCATCCAAGGAAAAGAAGGAAGTGACCTACAAATGAAAACCCATCAGAATTTCATCCCACTTCTCAGCAGATACTCTATAAGACAGAATAGAGTGCAACCAAATATTCAAATGTCTGAAAGAGAGAAATTATCAACCATGAATAATATGAAGGAGAAATAAGGTGCCCCCAGACATACAAAAGCTAAGGGATTTTATCACCAGAAAACCTCCATTGCAGAAATACTCAAGGGAGATATTTTACCTAAAACAAAGAAATAAGGTCACAACACTACTAGTAAGATTACTAAAAAACTTGCAGCATAAACAGGGATAATTTGCAACAACAAGAACACGAAAGGAGAGGGGATTAAGTTCTGAACTGGCAAAGGAAGATGAAGATCAGATGCATTCAAAAGGGAAAACACTACAGTATATATGCAACTTTATTTTTTGTAAACCTAATGATAACCACAAACAAAATCCCCAAACCAGGACATACAGCTTAAAAAAAAAGGAAACAAAGGAAAGAAATATGAAATACCACCAAACAAAAACAACACAGAGAAACACAAAGGAGAAGAACCAAGGGAGGCACGGAACTCTCAGGAAGCAACATATAAAATGGCTATAGGAAATTTTCATACATCAATAATTACCCTCACTCTAAAAGGTCTGAATTCACCAATAAAGAGGCACAGAGTAGCAAAGTGGATCAAAAAACAAAACCCAACCATATGCTGTCTATTAAAGACACATCTAAGCTGCAAAGACAAAGGCAGATTCAGTTAAAGGGTGGCATTTTCTAAGCAAATAACATCCACAGAAAAGCATATGTAGCCATAATTATATCAGACAAAATAGAATTAAAGATAACAAGAGACAAAAATTAACACTTTATAATGATAAAGGGAACACTACATCAAGAAAACATAACACTTTTATATGCACCCAACCAGGGAACACCAAATATATAAAACCACTACTCACAGAACTAAAGGGAAAAACAAATCAAAACACAATCATAGTTGGGGATCTTAATAGTCCATTGACAGTTCTAGGCAGATCAACAAAACAAAATAAATAAAGACATATTAGCCTTAAATGAAACACTGGACCAAGTGGACATAATTGACATTTACAGAACTTTTATCCCAGAACATCAGATTATACATTCTTCTCTAGTGCACATGGAGCATTCTCAAAAATAGACCTACATCTTGATGAATATAATGCAAAAATCCTAATCAAAATACTAGCAAACTGAATACAATAGTACATCTAAAAAATAATACATCACAATCAAGTGGGGTTCATTCCAAGAGCACAATGATGGTTCAACATATGCAAATAAATCAACATAATACACTACATTAACAAAAGAAAGGACAAAAATTATATGTTCTTATCAGTAGATGCAGAAAAAACATTTGATAAGATACAACATCCATTTATGATTAAAACACTCAATAAAATAGGAATAGAAGAAAGTACTGCAACATAATAAAGGCCATATTTGATAAACCCACAGCTAATATCATACTCAATGGTGGAAAACTGAAGCTTTTCCTCTAAGATTAGGAACAAGACAAGGAGGTCCACTCTCACCACTCTTATTCAACATAGTGCTGGAAGTCCTAGCCAGAGCAATAAGGCAAGAGAAAGAAATAAAAGGCATCCAAATAGAGAAGGAAGAAGTCAAACTCTCACTCTTTGTGGATAACATGATTCTGTATATGGAAAACCCTAAAGACTCAACCAAAAATAAATTATTAGAAAAATAAACAAATACAGTGAAGTAGCAGGATACAAAATCAATGTAAAAAATCCATTGCCATCCTGTATACCAATAACAAAACAGAAAAAGTGATGAAAAAAACTATCTTTTGCAATTGCAACCAAAAGAATAAAATACTTAGAGATAAACTTAACAAAGAACATGAAAGACCTATATACCGAAAATTGCAAAGCATTATTAAAAGAGATCGAAAAAGACACAAAAAAATGGAAAAATATCCCATGTTCATGGATTGGAATAGTCAACATAGTTAAAATGGCCATATTACCCAAAGAAAAAAATATATTTAATGCTATCCCCATGTATATCCCAATGTCATTTTTGGAAGAAATAGAATGAGAAATCATCAGATTTGTATGAAACCACAAAAGAACTCAAATAACCAAAGGAATCCTGAGAAAAAAAGAACCAAGCTGGAGGTATCACACTACCTGACTTCAAATTATATTACAGAGCTATGATAATCAAAACAGCATGGTATTGGCAGAGAAACAAACACAGAGATCAATGAAACTGAATAGAGAGCCCAGCTATAAAACCACATGTATATGGACAGATAATTTTTGACAAAGGAGCCAGAAACACACAATGGAGTAAAGATACTTTCTTCAATAAACGATGCTGGGAAAACTGAAAAGCCACATGCAAAAGAGTGAAACTAGATTATAATGTGTCCATGTGTAACAAAAATTAATTTAAAATGAAAGACCTAAATATAAGACTCGAAACAATAAGTTACATAGAAGAAAATAGAGGAACCAGTACTGGTAATAGAGAACATTTGATGAACTTGACCCCAAAGTCAAGGGAAGTAAAGGCAAAAGAAAAAAATGGGACTATATGAAACTAAAGATCTTGTGCACAGCAAAAGAAGCTCTCAACAAAACGAAGCAGCAACAAACCAGATGGGAGATGATATTTGCAAACAGTAGCTCCAACAAAGGTTTAATTTCCAAAATACCCAAAGTGCGCGGGGTACCAGGCTGCTCTGTACTAATTGGGACCTCAGGGTGCTGTTGTGGTACCTGTTGCTATAAACACTTTGCCGATTTGCATAAGTATGTGACATTATGAAATTTCCTGAGAGATCTTATCCATGTCGCTGGCACAAGGCCCACATGAAAAGCCAGGTAGAAAGACAATGTGTGTGTTGTTAAAAGAAAAAAAAAAAAAAGAAAGGAGAAAAACACGTTTCTTGTTTTCGTTCCATATGCAGGTGAACAGCATAAGAAATGGAAAACGTATCCACTCCAGGAGCAGTGCCTGCAGCTTGCTTTGTTTTGTTTTGAAATTGTTGAAGAGATGTTTTCCTTCTACTTCTTCAGCTGCCTGTCACATTCAAAAGGCCAGCAGGAGACTGTGAAGATGATACAGATGAATTGATGTTTGGGAACACCAGGTGCCTTGCAGAGCGGGAAGGAAGGTTAGAGATCACCGAGCCCAGCCGTGTCATTTCACAGATGTGGAAACTGAAGGCCCGTCGCCTGGACAGGACAGCCACGGGCCAGCTGACTGCCACGCCAGGGCCTCTCACACTTTCCAAAACACTCCAGAGCCGACCAAACTGCTCACCCTCATTTTCACCGGAACAAACGCCCATTAGATGCAACAAGACAAAACCGACCCCTCCCCAGGCCCAGAGCCGCAGGCCTCTCTACTCCCTGTTCGCATGAGCCAATCCTGAGCCACCAGCCTTGAGCCAGTAGGTGCCTCTCTTTTCTTTTTGTAAAATATGTTTTTATTGAATTATTTTAGATAGAGAGGAAGGGAAAGGAATAAAGAGACAGAAACATCAATGAGAGAGAAACATCAATTGGCTGCCTCCTGTACACCCCCTACTGGGGATCAAACCCACAACCCAGGCATGTGCCCCAACCAGGAATCAAAACAGTGACCTCTTGGTTCATGAGTTGACATTCAACCACTGAGCTATACCAGCTGGGCCATATACCTCTCTTTATCTATCTGTATAGCCATGCCTTCTCCAGGTATATCTCTACTGTTTTAATACAAATTATTTTTCTGTCTTTAGCTTCTTTCTTGTGGACTTCTGGACAAGCTTAAGTTCAGTGTTTTAGAACTGCAAGAATATCTAGACACCTACAACAACAGAAAAGAGGCCACTCTCTCAGTAAGTGTTGTGTTTCTGTGTGTGTGTGCATTCCATTAAAACCAAATAAACCAGCCACAGTGAGCTTCTGGGAGGGACTGGTATTAACCTAAGAGAGGTACTTTGGGGAGACCAACTTCATCTATTCCTCTGCTAGGGATTAAAATTTCAATTCAATGGTGGTAGAACTGTCAATATTGTGGATTATATAAAACTAATGGCCCAGTGCACGAAATTCATGCACGGGGTGTGGGGGGGTGTCCCTAAGCCCAGCCTGCACCCTCGCCAATCTGGGACCCCTCAGGGATGTCCGACCCCACCAGCCTGCTTGCCCCAAACTTCCCCCCTGCCAGCCTACTCACTCCCAAAAGCACCCCCCGCCCCCGCTGGCCTGCTTGCCCCCAACTGCTCTCTTCTCCTGGCCTGATCGCTCCTAACTGCCTTGCTTCTGCCTTGGCCCCACCACCATGGCTTTGTCCAGAAGGACGTCCAGAAGGTCTCCCAAAAGGTCTCCTAGTTTAATTAACACATTACCCTTTTATTAGTATAGATGATATCTACACAGGAGAGTTTTCAGCTTTCAATTTTAGCCCCATTATTTCCCTAACAAGTAATTAGGGAAAGTAGGTATCTGCTTGAGATGTCACTTTATCAATGTTATAACTTTTCTCTATGATTTTAAATTGTTAATTACTTCATCCAACACTAGTTGAGATGGATCTCATTTCTCTCCTCCTCTTGACCACTCTTAGGACCTGTTTCTCCACAGCTTGTCATGGCCTCTGCTCTTGCTCTTCACTCTTTTCTTCTAGATTGTAAATTTAGATCTAGATTGTTAAATTATAGAGACAGAAGTAATCCAAAAACCATCCATACACACCTTTTGATTTCTGACAAATAATTGTGTAATATCTATGAAGCATTCCTATGATATGCCAGGCACGAACATGAATTTTGAAGTCAGATGGACTTGGCTTCCAATCACTACTCAGCCACATGAGGGTTAGTGGCCTTTGATAAGTTACTGACCTTCTCTCATCTCAGATTGATCATCTATAAGATAGTGATAATAATTAATGTATAGAATTTTTATAAGAATATAACAGTCTTAATCAGTCATAGAAGGCATCATTTCCTAAATTCATTCTGTGTCCAGCAACCTAAGAGTTAAGTCTCTTAAATTAAATCATTTAATGTTCATAACTACCCTGGGAGTTTCTATCATTATCCTCTCTTGCTAGGAGTGAGAATGGTATTATGAAAATAATACAATATTGCCTTTAAATATAAATAATATATGGAGAAACTGTCCAGCACAGTGTCTCATACATAGAAGACATTCATTGTAAAGATACTGGGTTTTTGTTTATTTCTATTGTTATTGATGTTCTTGACCTGTCCAAGGGCAAGAGTTCCAACATTCTACTGTAACAGTTCCCACTGTCATCTATTTCTGTGGCTCTTTACCTGTTATTGTTATCCGGTTTCTCAATCATCAGTTAATAAATTAATCCTTTCATTCTCATCAGTGAACAAACCAGTCTTTCCATGTCAGTGTATATTTTGGTTCTTCAGTGCTTTTTGTTTTCTGCCCAAAGGTTCATTTCCACATCTAGATTAGTTACTATCAGATGCTTAAGATTGGCAGACTCTAAATAGCTGAGCCATTATTATAATAGTCTTTCTTACATCGAAGTAGACCTGCCTCCTCAAAAGTACCCTCAACATGACAGAGAGATAGATGTGGCATGAGTCAGGTTGCATTGTCCAGAATCACTCATCCCATGAGGAAGTGTTGGGCCTATCACCCAATTTCAATCAACAGGTGATAGGCCCACAGTGCAACCTAAGAGTTAAGTCTCTTAAATCATTTAATGCTCATAACTACCTGTTACAGTAGAATGTGATAGGTGATGTATCATAATGTTGAAATTATATTTTTAAATGAACATTGCTAAACCCACTTAAATGGATATTTTAATTTCAAGTAGTTTATCTTTAACCAAAAAGAATTATTTTCAAAAAGTCGTTACAGCAAATATTTACTTTATTGTGATTAGAAGATTAATCAATTTTTCCTGACAAAATCAATGATAACACATTCTCAGGACATCACTGAATTTACCTATGTCTGTGTCTCCTTCTGACAACAGTGGCTTGCAAATTGTAAGGCGACATTTGCTGGAGGATCAAGAGACGGCGTAATTACCTGCCAACCAGGGGATTCAGAAGAAAAGGTAATAAAAACCTTTTAGATTTTGTCTTTTCTGTACTCTGACATTGTGTGTTGGTTTTGATCCTTCCAAGAATCATGGAACTTGAGGAAGAGATGGAAGGAATCATCCATACATTCACATGAAGCCAGTAAAGTAAAACAGAATGCATTCAGACCAAGCATGAATGTGTGTTCATGGGACTGGGGGGCGGGGGGTCATTTTGGAAAAATAAAAATAACCTTTCTTCTGGACACTGCCTAACTATACTAATGATTTCCTAATAAATCTGTTCTTTATTGAGAATATGAAATCAATTTCATTAATTTGTCACTAAATCCTCTGGTTCCTTCAGTGAAGAATCTTTATTGACATTTCAGCATTCTAGTTTTTAATTTTTTAAAATTTTCAATTACATACAATAATATATTACTTTCAGGTATACAACATAGTGATTAGAAATTTATGTAACTATGAAATGATTCCCCCCAGTAGCCTAGTATCCACCTGACACCATACATAGACATTACAATATTATCAACTATATTCCCTATGCTGTACTTTATATCCCCATGACTGTGAATGCCAATTTCTTTTTTCTTTATTTTTTTTAAATGCCAATTTCTACTTCTTACTCCTCTCCCCATTTTCACCCAGCCTCCAATGCCCTTCCCATCTGGCAACCATCAATTTGTTCTCTGTATCAGTTTAGTTTATTCGTTTCATTTTTTAAGATTCCACACATAGGTGAAACCATATGGTATTTGTCATCAATTTGTTCTCTGTATCAGTTTAGTTTATTTGTTTCATTTTTTAAGATTCCACACATAGGTAAAACCATATGGTATTTGTCTCTCTCTCTGTCTGACTTATTTCACTTAGTATTTCAACCCTCTAAGTCTAGCCACGTCGTAAATGTCAAGATTTCATTTTTTAATGGCTGAGTAATATTCCATTGTATATATATATACCTCAACTTCTTTATTCAATTGTCTATTGATAAACAGGTTATTTCTATATCTTGACTATTGTAAATAATGCTGCAAGGAACATAGGGATACATATGTCTTTTCAAATTAATGTTTTTGATTTCTTCAAACATCCAGAATTAGATTGCTGAGTCATATGGTAGTTCTATTTTTAATATTTTGAGGAACCTCCATACTGTTTTCTATAATACCTGCACCAATTTACAATCCCACCAACAATGCATGAGGATTCCTTTTTTTCCACATCCTTGCCAATATTTGTTAATTGTTGATTTATTGATAATAGCCATCCTGACAGGTGTGAGGTGATATCCCACTGTGGTTTTAATTTGCATTTCACTGATGATTAGTGATATTGACATCTTTTCACATGTCTGTTGGCTGTCTGAATGTCTTCTTTAGAGAAATGTCTATTCAGTTCCTCTGCCATTTTTTAATTTGATTGTTTGTTCTTTGGTGTTAAGTTGTATGTGTTCCTTATATATCTTAGATATTAACCCATTTCAGATGTGTCATTGATGAATATTTTTATCCATTCAGTTTGTTGATGGTTTCCTTCACTGTGCAAAATCTCTTTATTTTGATATCATCCCATTCTTTTTGTTTCATTGCCTCAGAAGACATATCAAAAAATATTGTAAGAGCAATGTCAAAGAGTTTACTGCCTGTTTTTTTCTCTCATAGTTTTAGGGTTTGGGGCCTTACACACAAGTCTTTAATCCACTTTGAGTTTATTCTTGGATATGGTGTGAGAAGGTGGTCTACTTTCATTCTCTTACATGTATCTCTCCAGTTTTCTCAACACCATTATTGAACAGACTGTGTTTACCCCACTGCACATTCATGCCTCCTTTAACACAGTTTAATTAACTATATAGGCATGGATTTATTTCAATTCTGTTCTTTTTGATCCATGTGGTTATTTTTATGCCAGTACCATGCTATTTTTATTACTACTAGAGGCCTGGTGCACATTAGTGCACTGGAGGGGGAGGGGTTCCTCGGGGGGAGGGGCCCCTCAGCCAGACCTGTGCCCTCTCGCATTCTGGGACCCCTCGGGGGATATCCGCCTGCTGGCTTATGGGGAGTGGGCCTAAGCCTGCAGGTGGACATCCCCAAGGGGTCCTTAGTGCTGCCATGGAGGCGAGAGAGGCCCCCGCCACCTCCACTGTGCTCACCAGTGGCTGAGTGGCGCTCGCCCTGTGGGAGCGCACTGACCATCAGGGGTCAGCTCCTGCATTGAGCATCTTCCCCCTGGTGGTCAGTGCACATCATAGCAACTGGTCATCCCACCGTTTGGTCAATTTGCATATTAGCCTTTTATTGTATAGAATAGCCCTGTGGTATAGTTTAATATCAGGTTGCATGATACCTCTAACTGTTTTTCTCAGAATTGCTTTAGCTATTTAGGGTCTTTAGTGGTTCCATTATATACGTTTTAGGATTCTTTGTTTTAGTTCTGTGAAAAATCCCATTGATATTTTGATAGGGATTGCATTGAGTGTATAAAGTGCTCTGGTAGTATGGACATTTCAAGGCTGTTAATTCTTTCTATCCATGAACACAGTATATGTTTCCATTTATTTGTATATTTTTTTCAATTTCTTTCTTCAATGTCTTATAATTTTCTGAGGACAGGTATTTCACCACCTTGGTTAAATTTATTCATAGGTATTTCATCTCTTTGATACAATTGTAAGTGAGGTTGTTTTCTTAATTTCTCTTCTGATATTTCATTATTGGCATATACAAATACAACTGATTTCTGAATATTAATTGTGTTCCCTGCTACATTACTGCATTAACTTACTAATTCTAATAGATTTTTGGTAGAATCTTTAGGGATCTCTATGTACTGTATCATGACATCTGTAAATGACAGCTTTAGTTCTTAGTTTCCAATTTGGAAGTCGTTTATTTCCTTTTCTAATCTTATTGCTGTGACTAGAATTTCATACTATGTTGAATAAAAGTGATGAAAGTGGATATCCTTGTTTTTTTTGTGATCTTAAAGATAATGCTTCCAGGTTTTCCCCATTGAGTATGATGTTAGTTGTGGGTTTGTCATATATGCTCTTTGTTATATTGAGGTATGTTCCCTCTATCCCTACTTTGTTGAGAGTTTTTATCATAAATGGGGGCTGGATTTTGCCAAATGCTTTCTCTACATCTATTGATATGATTATAGGATTTTTATCCTTTATTTTGTTTATGTGGTGTATCAGTCTCACAAAATGTGCCTGGGACCCTTCCATCCTCATCAACATTTTTGAATAGTTTAAGAAAGATAGGTATTAATTTATCTTTGAATGTTTGTCATCTAGTCCAGAGCTTTTGTTTGTAGTGAGCATTTGGATTACTAATTCATTTCATTACCAGTTTATCTATCTGTTCATGTGTTCTGTTTCTTCCTGATTCAGCCTTGGAAGATCATATGTTTCTAGAAATTTATCCATTTCTTCCAGGTTGTCCAATTTGTTGGCATATAATTTTTCATAGTATTTCCTAATAGTCCTTTCTATCTGTGATGTCAGTTTTCACTTCTCCTCTTTCATTTCTGACTTTATTTATAGTAAAACCTCGACATAATAGACTAATTTGGGCAAGGGTGTGTCTGTCAAAGCCAAAATTCCATTATATAATAAAGTAGGTTTTCCAAATGCATGTTAAAATATTGATAAATTAGTTATTTACCTATTTTACTTATGTAGACACATTGTGTAATTAAGTACATATGAAAAGTTCAATTTTGTAGATAAGTTTTCTATATGTGTTACAGTAATTTTAAATTTATACTGAGTAAGTCTAGTAAATGCATGCATTCACTAGTCACTGAGAGTAAACAAATGCACATGGCTGGGGCATGGCTTAGCACACATCAGAACATTGGCTGAGTTTAAAATATTGCATAAAGTCACACCAGGTGTGATGCTGTCTGATCACATGATAATTATTCACCAAACATTGTTTTTGAGCAGTGACTCTTGGATTTAAATATGTAAATTGTAGTTGTAGATATATAACATTTATGTCAGTGAAATTACTACCCTCTTTTTTCCAACATATGGCCTATTCACTAAAATTTATTTAAAATAACACTGCATTAATAACAAAAAAAATAACCTGGTAATTTAGTTATAAGCAAATCTTAGTTAAAAGCATTTGAAATTAAATGAGTGTTAATTTTAAGATATGACATATGGACAGGAAATTTTGTCAATTAAATTCGAAGTCCATTAAATCTAGATCAGCAAAATCAAGGGTTTACTATATGGGGGCCCTTTCTCTTTATTTCTTGATGAGACTGGCTAAAGGTTTACCAAGTTTATTTATCTTTTCAAAGAACCAGCTATTCATTTCTTGATCTCTTCTGTTGTTGTTTGTTTTTTTAAATTCTATTTCATCAAATTCCATTCTAATCTTAATTATTTCCTTACTTCTGCTTACTTTGGTTTGTTCTTTTTCTAGTTCCTTTGGGTGAGGTTACATTGTTTGAGATTTATTTTTTTCTTATTTCTTAAGGTAGGCCTTTAGTATTATGAATTTCACTCCTAGGATTGCTTTTGCTGTATCCCGACTTAGGGTCATTGTATTTTAATTTTCATTTGTCTTATGGAATTTTTTTTCTTCCTTGATCTCATTGTTAAGCCATTCATTGTTTAATAGCATGTTATTTAACCTCTATGTGTCTGTATGCTTTTCAGTTTTCATCTTGTAATTGATTTCTAGTTTCATACCATTGTGATAGAAAAAAATACTTGATATAATTTCAATCTTAAATTTATTGAGATTGTTTTATGGCCTAACATGAAGTCTGTCCTTCCATGTGTACTTGAAAAGAATGTATATTCTGCTGCTTTGGGATGAAATGTCTTAAAAATATCAAGTCCATCTGGACTAATGTGTCATTTAAGGCTGCTGTTTTCTTGATGGTTTTTCTGTCTGGAAGAATCTATCTAGTGATGTCAATGGGTGTTAAAGTCCCCTCTTATGGCTGTATTATTGTCAGTTTCTTCCTTTATGTCCATCAATGTT